TGAATGAGTAAGAAAGGCCGCCTCTTCCCTCATGTGGAAAATATTTGTATTGCATAGTTTCGCTGTGTTTTGTGCAGCTTATATATAATGTTTTTAATTAGCCTTCCATGTCCCAAACAGAAAAGTGAGTACGCTATGGTCATCTGAAGAATGTCAGGTGAAGGTGTACTAGAGAGCTATTTAAAAATCAGTAGATCTCCATAAATTACGAACTTTATATCTTCTTACCTAGAAGATAACGTAAGGACTAAAGCCGTGGAAACAAACAAACAAAAAGGTTTACTCATACTCTTGGTTTTTCAATCCAGAACTCTGATTTTGCGGCACAGATTTCCATAAAAAGCTAGGAGCATACTCATTCTGATAAAACTTTGACTTCTGCTTGTGACATCTAAACAGACCACGTCACATTCTGGTTAGCGATCAGGTAATTAGGATTCTGCAAACCCAAAAATTGGTCCTCGCCTCCTGCCACGGCTAGCGTTGGAGCTGGGGGCCTGATCCTCTACCTGAGCAATTTGCTATGGCTTCATTACTTTCTGCAGAAATACTGTGTGTCGCATCCATTAAGGATGCCTGTACCTTGATGCATGCATCTTACTGCATTAAAGATGCATGCTCAGTCTTGAGTACGTATTCAGGTGTTTGCAGAATCGCAACAGAGTTCAAACGCGATATACTCAAGTATATCATGAACTGTAGTAGTCAGAAAATACGGGGCTTAGTAAAGAGCTTATCTCAGCCGGCTGACTATTATAAAATTGCTCTGACTTCTGAGTTTAGATACAGCAAGAACTCTTGAATCAGCTAAGGCTAGTGAAGTGGTTTCTGTTTTATTAAAGATTACAGGGAAGCCATTTGAAAGATGTGGACACACACAGAGGCACAATAACATATAATTTCTTTAGGACCGTACATGCTGACCATCATGCTATTTTGCCTGTGCACAGGCATCTAAAAAGTAAAAAAAAAAGTGACTCGACTAATTTTCCCAGCTGACTGCAAACAGCATAGATGAGGAAAAATGCATCTAATTTTTAAATCCCTCGGTTACACCAAACGACAGCCGGTGTGGCTAATCTAGGGCATTACCTCTGATGTTCCAAGCCTGCGTGCGCTAAGCAATGAGGGCCAGATCCAGGAGGGGCCCTAGGTGTGGCAGCGCTCAGCTTCACCACGCCTATCGGCAGGCGCCCTGACTCGGGGACTGGAATTAGGAACATCCAGTTCTTGCTCCTGGAGCTCCGTCTGTGCTTCCTTATCCAGTGAGTGCATCAGGTAAACCTTCCCAGGACAGACTCCCATCTCTCCAAAGTCACGATCCCACAGCGTCAATCGCTCGCTTGTGCCTTCTTTTATACTGACGGTAGCCCAGATGGGCAGAGTTCTCTAACCACCGAGATACAGAAATGCCAGCTCTGCCCACGTCCTACCATGTTACTTAAAGAGCGGGCCATGCATCTCTGTTCAGAGGGATGGAGAGGGGTTTTCCAGCCCGCCCCACTGCCTGTAGCCCCCAGAGCAGCCCCCTGGGAGAGGATGCTCTCCGGTGCATTCCTCCCCCCAGCATTTCTTGCTGGGCAGCATAGGCATCTCGCCCCTGTCATGCCAGGCAGCGTGAAATCCACCTCAAGACTCACATGCTGCCCAGGAAACTTTGGTGCTTAATCTGGCATTGCAAATTCCTTTCAGGGGCTAGGCGCTGAATGCTTATGCTTGGCTCTGCCGCGTAGCAAACCTTTATGAACAGAGCCCTAAGGTCTTTTCAGCCGCCCGGAGCTCAGCAGACAGGGTCGCACTTAATAGCAGCTCTCACAGTGTACGAGGGATCCCCACGAAAAGTCTCTTGCAGCACCTGCTTATTACCTGACGACTCTTTTTGAACAAATGTGTTTTCGCAGAAGTGCAGTGTCACCGGAGCTGAAATGTTCCAGCATTTGCTAATTTTTATAGGGGATTTACCCAAAAGGTTTCTCAGATCCTGGCTGTGACCGTGTCATTGTAGGCTAGGTTTAGAGGGAGCAAGAAAGACAGTGTCAGAAAGGAAAACCTGAACTTGTCAAGCAGTACGTGAACATTTTCACAAGGACGTTAAGCCACATAGTGCTCTTTATTCCAGCATAGAACCAGAGCACATTTTGAAATCTAAGAAATTGCCTTGAACGGAATTGTTACTTTCTGGCTACCTCTACTTACTTATTATCTTGTGTGGTGATACCACATAGGAGGTATGTTACTCACATGCCGATGGACTCCATGAGGCTATTAAAGTGGGACCCAGTGCACCTGAAGTATGCTGCAGGCTCTAGGCAGTGAGACTAAGTCTACTTACCTCCCAGTTTTGCTTAATTCTTATGCTACTAAACCTAGAAAATGTTGTCTAACCGATCCAGATTCCCATGACTTCTATGTTCAATCACAAATGCACGATTAGAAGTGTTTCTTCTGGGAACTGAGCGGATAGCCTTCCAACACTTGTCTCCTGAAAAAAGCTCTAAGCTGTTCAGAGGGCCCTTGGAAAACTCAGGTATAATCAGAAGTACACATCTCAGTGGCATTTCCAGCATCAGAGTGCACTGGATTTCACCCAAGAAGTAGGAAACCAGGGCTCTAAGGACTTCTGGCTTGAAGATTACTGAACTTGCACTTTAGGCAAGTGTCCTAATGCCCAATGGCCTGAGGGTAAACATCTTCTGTGCTGTTGAAGTTGGGTCACTGCATAGTCAGGAGGCCAAGAACAGGGTCAGAGGAGGAGAAAGTAGCTGTTGGTCCTGGGTTCAGCATAAAAGTCTGACTACTCCTGTACCGCAGGGGATCTGCTCCCAGTGCACTCCTGACCACGTGGCTGTGGATCTGACAAGGTGGGGAAGATGCCCCTCATCCTGCAGGGCACCTGGGCCTGACTTGATGTGCACTGGATCCTAAATCTGAGCTCTCTGCCCTTAAATGGGGAACCACAGCCGGTCCCTGATCACCTTTGAATGCCTTCCGTGGAGGCAGGCAGTCTTTTAGGAGTTTTGATACCGTTTGCATGGATAAAAAGCCCGTTTAACTTAGTGGAAGCCTTTCCATTACCTTTAGGGATGAGGCGGAGTCCCAAAAGCTCTGAGAGGGTATGAACTTTCCAAAGAGTGATCTGTAAAGAAGAAAAGAAAAATATTTTTACTTTTATATTCACAATAGACATTTCGTTGCCATTGCATTACAGCTGTTTGGAATGGGTTTTGTTTTCAGTAAAAGCTGCAGTTACAAAAATTCCCTCCTCTTCAATTTTTATTGAGCAAATGATTTAAGATACTTTTGAAGGGCTTAAAAACCTTTTCTTTTAGCAGAATCTACTTACTCAGGGGAAACTTCAATCACTGTATTGGAAATTTTGGCATCCTGCCACTGCAGAACTAAGAGAAACCATAAAACGTTTATGTGGAAGTGGCTGAAAGGTGAAGAGTCAAGCCTCCAACTGCAAATTCCTGCGTTTCCAGGGTCATTACCTGTTCTGCCAATATAGGATATTGGTGATCCAGGTTTTCAGTAATGACAGTGAATTTGGCAGTCCTTCGAACGAGTCACATAGGCTTGTGTTTCTAAATATTAAAAAGCAGTCTGTCTTCGTCCAGAAAGGAAAAAAAAAATGCAGCTTTAAAAAAAAGCTTTAATAGTTACAGAATATGTAAATAAAAAATCTGTAGATTGAAACAGCTTCCCCCTTGGTACTTCTTAACCATTGTTTTTCCAAATTATAAGTTCAGGCTTTCTTTTACCTGGAAAAAACCTATAATGCAAGGAGAATTAACAAAATGGGTGTTGGAAGATGCAGAAGCCTGAAGTTGGGAAACTGGATGTGAACTATACCAAGCTTGCACTAGTTTAACTGTTTCGACTACAGGTGTGATTTTTACCAAAATAGTTTTACTGAAATAGACGCCCGTTATTACCACACCCAGTGTTTCCGTGCAGCTCTCATTTAAAATAATTTAAATGCTTTTTAGTTAGGCAGGAATTGTGGGATCTTGTGGGTGTGGATAGTTTTCTATATAATTATGTGGGCCAAATATAGATAAGGAGGAGCCTGGAAAAGATTGGCATCGCCAGGACCTGGAATGTGACCTTGGTGCATAAGGTTGATCGTTCCATTAGATTGGCCGGAGTCAGTTCCCTCAAAACTTTTCCCATTCATTACCAAAATCATCCTTAAAACAGTCAACTTATGCAAGTAATGGGAATCTTTAAATTAAAACCTCATGGCTTAGAGAGTTTTAGTAGGCTAAGGAACACTTAACCATTAAGTCCTCATTCAGAACCTTTTTTTATTCATTTTTTCAGTACTTTGCACAGATTTTTATGAGATGCCTGACACTGACACAATTCATGTAATACAGAAGAACAAGCATAACAATACAGAGTACAACTTATCGTCACTTTATGGAAAACATGTTGGTTACTGTGGAATCAATTCGGAGGCTCTGCTAAAATTGAATAAAAATGTGTCTAAATGCTTCCTCATGATGGCTGAGGAAGTAGCCATGGGTGACTGGGTGCAGGTCACATGTGCTAGTTCCCCTCCCTAGCTTTGAGACTCTAAAAGACTTCTAAAAATGAAATGAATGTGCTCCTTAAACTCCTTTGTGAAGCTGTGCATGGGGGAAGGGGTGGTTAGTAGGATTTTTTTTTTCTCTCTATCTAGATGTAATTTGCCCTAGAAAAGTGTTTGGATTGTGTTTTTGGAGGATTCCACGTTATAAAAATCCCCATGCTTTCACAAACAGAACCCTTGCACCCAGTTGCTCCAGCCGGCCTAGTTATTAACATCTAGCTATTAAATTGACTCTCCACCAACTTCACTGAATCAATGACCCTAGCTGACAAGTTTGCCTTGACCTGTTGTGGTGGTCCAGTTCAGTCTTTGCAAGGAAAATGAAATTGCCCCGCAGTTGCTGCTTGTTTGCTATAGAAACTGAGATAACAGAATCCAGGATAATCTTTTGGATTCTCTAGAAATAACCATTTTACTTTCTTGTGTTTGAATTTCCTTTGAAGGCTTTCATCTCTATCACAAGTTGCCCTCAATAGTACCTGAAAGCTGTCTCCTCATTCTGGTTGGATTGCTTCTTGGTGGGATTATTTTTGGAGCAGAGGAGAAGTCCCCACCTGTAATGAACAGTGATGTATTTTTCTTGTATCTTTTACCACCCATTGTACTCGACGCTGGATATTTTATGCCAACTCGTCTTTTCTTTGAGAACTTTGGTACCATATTCTGGTATGCCGTGGTGGGCACGCTCTGGAACGCCATCGGCATTGGAATCTCGCTTTATGGAATTTGCCAGATCAGTGCATTTGGTTTGACTGATATCACATTGCTGCAGAATTTGCTCTTTGGCAGCCTCATTTCAGCTGTGGATCCTGTGGCGGTGCTAGCCGTTTTTGAAAATATTCATGTCAATGAGCAGCTTTACATCCTGGTGTTTGGAGAGTCTTTGCTGAATGATGCTATAACTGTGGTAAGTTAACTTGATAAATGATTAGTTGATAAAAAGGAGAAATGATTGTTTGCATGCCACTCCATTATATCTCTCTGTGTCTGGCCATTACAGTTTGCTAATAGATGGAAGTCAAGGAGTGCTAATGCATTTATGCAATTCTCTAAACTTTAAATTTAGAAGCAACGGTAGTCTTATTACCCCAGAGCAGTGTGTAATGGTAGCGTATTTGCTCTAAGGGATTTTACTACTTGATCTCTTCAGTTTCTGTGTCTTTGAAATCTGTTACCTCTGCCACCTGAAACTGGAGGTTTTCCTCACCTGCAGAAATGGGAAGGAGAGGGAAAAGGGAAAGGACCAATGTGGGGTGTCCCGGCATGTTCACAGGGAGAATGGGCAAATCATTGAGCCAGCACAGGAGCTGGCTGATGCTAGCCTTTCGCACGTGCCCGTCCAGTTGGGACTGCCCCAAGACCACCAATACGTCTCTCCCAGGCTACAGATGAGATAGGGCAGCCATCTGGAGGCAGTAATTTCTAATCATTAACTAGCTGAACTGGGTTTGTGGTGCTGACCTGAGGACAGAAATCCGTGCATTCCATTAACACCCCCAATGCCCCTCATTTGTACCTCATGACACCACGTCTGGGACATTACTCCCATTTATTCATGCCTTACTTGAAATCCTGCCCCTGCCAGCTATGTCCTGGCATGCTTTCTGTTTTGTGAGACGTGGAGATCCAGTTTGTCATGTGCCAGAAAGATCAGAAAGATTCATGAATTGGGTCCGCACCTTCTCTCTCTCTGTCCCTGGCTTCTTGTTCCTGTCCCATTCTATGCACAATTGTCCTTCAGTTTTCCCCTTTTCTAGGACTTTGCCTCACTTGTTTAACACATACATATCTCATCTTTTAATCTGAGCCCTGGTACTGATAATTTCTTGAGTGTCTGTGGGAGTACTGTTTGGTTTTGGTTTTTTTTTTCAGTTATGCTTCATGCTTTATCTGATTCTGTTGCTATCCAGCCAGCTGAATCGCATCCTCTCTTTTGGGCTTGCCTTAAAGCCTAGCTTTTCTCATTAGCTTACACCTGAAACTGCCTGCCATTACAAGACTGGTACTTAAGCCAGTCCTGAAAAAAAGTGGGTGCAAATACTGAGTTTCAAAAGGCTTAGCAGTTCAGCCACGGCTGTGTCTGTCTCTATTCACTCTTAACGGCCATGCAAGCAGCAGAATTCTTTTCATACAAGTTTTTCTGGGGAAAAAGGTCTGGTTTTATGTTAAAGTTAAGATCTCTTTTTTTGTGGATTTTTCCAACTGAAATCACTTTTTCCAATCACAAAATCCATCACCTTTCCGCTGGAGCAGCAGTTAATCCAGCAGGGTTTGCTAGGAAAGCACTGCATCCTGATGACGGAAGTATTCATGCATGCCATTGCCCAATGGCAAATTGCTCTAAACCACCATTTTTACAGCCGCCGGCATGGCAATTTAATAACTGTGATGCGTGGCTTTCCTGCAGGCATCATTACTGCCTTCTTAGGAGATGGTCCTTTCTCACGGCATGCCTGCCCAGGTGCCCTAATGCAGGGGGAGATACTCTGGGCAGTCTGCAGGACCAGCCCAGCCGACGCACTGGCCACGCATATATTCATGAGGAGTGAAAGGAATTTTGGGTGCGTTGGGTCTGACTTCCCAGCTATCGCTTAAAGGTAGCATTCGTCGGGAGATCAGGTGGTTTCCACATGCTAAGCGCTTGTCTGCTAATGGCTCCTTTCTATGATTTTGCACACCTGCGATTGTGTGATTATACTTCAAATGTGACCCAGGCGGTCACACAGATCCCCCGTGGGGTGCCCTTAGAGGACCTCGCCTCCCCTGCCTGTAGCAGTGCTGCCGGCCCCATCCTCGCTGTGGTGCTCCTGGGGTTACGCAGCTATCCACTCAAAGGAGATGATGTTTTGTAAATACAATCTCTTCCTCTGCCCTTGTGGGGTTACCCAGATTGCTGATAAAGCCAGCTAGCAGGCAGAGCTTAGCCCCTTCCAGCTTTCACCTGCTGGAGCCCTTGAGTCCCACCTGCCCTGGCACTGGTGGGATGTGGGGACGAAGCAGGAGGGGAGCCGAAGGCAGGCTGGCCGTCCACAGAAGCTGCCTAATTCCTACAGCCACTGCAGTTTCAAAAAATCCAGGGGCTACACAGATGGGCAGTGTAGAACGGCGTGGCTTTAGGAAACATGCCTTCGAAATACTTTAAGCCCTTCTTCCTGCTATCCCACTTGCACTGCCTGGCTGCTCCTAATAAAAGCTTTTATTAGGACAGCAGTGTCATTATGCTTTCCCTTTTCTGAAAAAGTGCTACCACACCTTCATTTTAGATACAAAGCGAGGTGGGCTTTCTCAGGAATCTCAGCTCTGCTGCATTTCTCAGGTGGTCTTCCATGCCTGATGGTTTTAACCGTATGCCCGTGCATTTGGATGATCCCTTTTCTCCCACTGGCGGAATTTTAGAGCTTGAATTTGGCTAAGTTTGCCAGTTGGCTTCTTGTTCAGAGTTGGTCCTTTACCGAAAGACTGGGTCAGTGATAACTAGCACAGTGATATTAAATGGCAAGGTCACAGTTGAGTGTTAGCAGTTCAAATTCCCATTCTGGGCTTAAAATCACAAAGAAGGACCTAGTGTCATTACAATAATATTATTCCCATGTTAGAAAACATTACAGCAGTGCTCTGTATTCCGCCTCTACTGAAAACATTACTTTAGAGTGCTTTAAAATAATCTCAGAATTAAAAACTAATAACTGAGAACTGATGAAAATAAGCAATTAGTGTCTAGGAAGAGCAGGGATACTCTTGAGACAAGATTAAAAAGCGATTGGTGACTAACATTCCTTGGTGTAACCTTTGGTGGGTTCAGCTGAAGAATGTTGAGTAAATGCAAATCTTGAACTCGAAAAAACTCCCATTCTCATACCAAATGCATTACAAAATGTGACCAGAGCTGATGTTGTTCAACTCACCTGAAAGCTTAGAGAGAGCTGTAAAACTGAACTGCTGTAGAGTAAAAGGGAAGTGAACCTGATTTTGATCTCATTTACGGCAGTGTAAATAAAGAACAGTAGGAACAAGATTAAAATCGTGTTCAGGACATTCCGTAGGCCTGGCTGCTGCTTCTACCACAGTGGTCTGGTTTTGATCCGAGGTACAAAGGAGAATGTTGCTTTTCTTCTTGCAAATAACTTATGGCAACAGACTTGAGATTTATGAGGGTATCTGTATGTGTAAACAACAGGCTCCATTCTGTTTGCAGGGTGACTACTTTGCTGTCAGGATGAGGTGATGTTATGGAAAGGCTATTGCTTGAGTAGATCAAAATGATAAGCTTCTTTACAAGCAGCTCTCAGTGGCCTTACTTTGGAGACTTGCCTTACGTATATTTATATAGTTACTTTTTAAAATAGAAAAAAGGCTATTTAAAGCTCCAATTAAAGAAAATAATTGTCTTCCCTGATACATACCAAGGGAGTATTCTGCCAGGCCAAATTCTGTAGGTGTCTTGAAGAGTAACACAACTCTGGACTAGTCCCATTTCAACAAGTGACTCACAGGAACTCCTCTCCTTGCAGACAACAGTATTTTTTCTTCAGTCTGTGATTCATGGAGACTGCTGGGAGTCTGTGGACAGAGAGGTCCAACAAAGGCACACCTATTGCCAATAGGCTTCATTCCGGTATACTTCTTTTCCTGCAAATCCATAATGAAGTCCACAAATCAAAACAGGCTGAAGACCAGTGGAGCTGATGACATTACTTTTCTGTCCTGTACAGGACACAGTTATGAGGAACAGGGCAAAAAAGCTGGGAATCTACCTCAGAGCAACAAGATGAAGGGGTTTGTCCAGGTGAAAAAGGACGCTTCCCCCAGGTGGACTCATCATGAGGGCATCATTCTTATCAAATAAATAGTTCATGCCCCTGCGCTTGCCCTGTTTGTTGCTTTGTAATGAAAATTGGAAATTACTGGTGACCGTGCTAGGTGTGATTTAACCTTCTTTTTTTCATGCTTGCTCTGGAATATATTTTTTTCTTTTCTTTTTCAGTTCTTGCCTTTCACTTAGCCCAAAGGACCCATAATAGGCCAAGTCCTTGCATTAGTCTATAGTAATAGCTTTTACTTCTGTAAGACCTATCAAATTTTGGCCAAGAAGAGCTGTACAACTTACTTTCTGTCATGTGAGAGAGAACAAGACTGAACATGACAAATCCCTCCCAGTCGCTGTTCAAACACCTACCTTGTTGGCACAGTGCAAGTACTGATAAAACATTGTTCTCTCAAATAGCATTTCTGATAGAGAAGGCTGTTTGGTTTACTAAGAAGTCCATAAAGAAAGTGGAGGTTTAACTCCTGCAAACCATCCGAGAGGACCAGTCAGGTGTTTATCACGACCAAGGTGGCTTAGCCTGTGAACCTGCTTTCCAATTCTGGCTTAGATCCTTTTTGTGATAGGACTAGGTCACTATGACCAAGCTTAGATCTGCACAAGGGGACTATGTAGCCATTACGGTATCGCGTGGCTGGGAACATACATGCAGCACCAGGCAATGCTTAAATCTCCCAAGTAAGTCTGCAAATGGGGAGACCCTTTAAGGTGTCTTTAAGAGTAACTGATTCCACTGTTGTCTGTTTTGTAGTAACTAAACCGCTGGTTATTAGAGAAATGTGAAGTTTACATGGTTCTGTTTCCTGTGTAAAACAAAAAGGCTCCCTGGCTAAGAAAATGTGTCAATCCCATTGACCCAGTTTGTTTTGGAGGATGGTTTTAAACTCTTTGAAAATTAAACTGAGAAAATTCATGGTAGCAGGTCTTTTAATGGGAATTAAGTCAAAATCTCTAGAAATTATCTAAAGTTTGAGATGTGTTTAAATCATTGGATTCTTAAAGGTTAATATGTCAGAGAATGAGCACTCCATGGATGCCATGTTTCTTGTACTTCTTGGGATGGTCACTGTCCATCCCTTTTCCCCCCCTGCTCCATGCCAGATGGATCTATGGTCTAATTCAGTACTGCACTTCTTGGTGTCTTAAGTAGATCAAACACGTTTGAAAATAACCTGATTTTTCACTGATTATGAAACTGTATTTTTTTCCTCCTCCTTTTTTATTTCTTTGATTCTGGGGAAAATCTGAAATAGCCATATGTGGAAAAATTAGAAGCTCTGCAAATAAGTGAATTTAAAGAATTTAAAGAAAGATTAGATAGATCTATGCTCCTGGCCTGCAGAATGGCACGGGTTAAGAAACCTGTCATGTTTGCAAAAATGGGAATAATGATATTTACTCTTCTTTTTATATCTCCCTGATATTTATGGATGACAAGTAATATGCCAAAGGTAAACAACAGCATATCTCAAAAGTGAGTTCAAGGTAGATAGAGAAATTCAAAGTTCAGCATTGAAGCAGAGGAACATAATGACACGAAGGGAAATTAAGATGAGTTCAGAAACATAATGTGCTTTCTTTTTCCTCATAGGTCCTGTACAATTTGTTCAAGTCTTTCTGCCAGATGCGCACAATTAAGGTTATTGACATATTCGCTGGGATTGCTAACTTCTTTATAGTGGGGATCGGTGGAGTATTGATTGGAATCCTTTTGGGATTTGTAGCAGCCTTTACCACCCGTTTCACCCATAAAATCAGAGTGATTGAGCCACTCTTTGTCTTCCTGTACAGTTACTTGTCATACATAACAGCTGAAATGTTTCATCTCTCGGGCATCATGGCGTAAGTACCCCAAACTTCAGTAATAATAGCACCCAAGTAAGAATGCTGAAGGAAATTGCAGAGAGGGCCAGATTTTGCAAACTTTGCCAAATGGCATCGTTCCACCATGCATGGCAGCAAATGCTGGCTTGAGGATTTCCGGCCTCTCCCCTCCCGCTTCCATCCCGTTCTCGCAGCTTGCCACCACACCAGCTGTGTCACTAAAACTGTTCATGGCATCACACCGTAAACCGTATCTTTGAAATGTTCCAAGTTAAAAATAATCCCTTGTATTTTCAGTGGGGTTATTTTTAACTCCGATCAGTTTGGTGACCTGTGTCCTCATGTGACCCTACAACTAGTCATCAGGGCATGGCTGAGGGGTGGCCCACAGTGATGTGGGGACAGCGGTGGCTGGGAGGGAGTGGGAGTGGTAGCTGGGAACTTCAGGAACTGGCTTTGCTTCCGATGCCAACGTATTGTGAAACTATATCTTCTGCTTGGTCGTGCGAGCAGCCAGTAAGTACCATTCAACGCAGACAACGTATATATCATTCAGGCCAACTCCTGCTGGATTGCAATCACATGTAAAATTTGCAGAATCTAGTCCTGTGGTGATATAACCTTTTAGTTTAGTGTCTTGATACCTGTGCCTGTGTGTTACAGTGCTCTCTGTAAACGTCATTATGTATAAAATAATATTATTCTTCCCACCTCCAACAGATACAAATATTTTCACTCCTGGTTTTTCGCTCCTGGGCTTCAGTAAGGAGAGGGCACAGCCTCTCACTTGATGCTGTTTATACTGTAACAACCTCAACTTTAGAAAGAGCCTTTATGAAATTTGATATACTTAAATGGTTTGCTCTGGTTCCAAGTAATATTTTGAAAGGTCGACCTTCTTTAATGACTTTGTATTGTTCTAGTGGCAAATATGAGTCATTCAGGCATTAGGAGCATAGCTTTTTGTGAAAGCTCAGATGTTACTTCCGAGTATCACTAATACTTGGTAGTACCTCATCTGATGACTATCTTTTAGGAAAGTGAGGATAGGTTTGATATCAGAGGCATGCCAGTAGAAGGTTTTCTGGGGCTGGGAAGCAATTTATGTGGAAACTTACAGCTTGATGGTTTCAGCAGTATAAAAATAGAAATGTGCCATGAAACAGGATGGGTTAGTACTTTAATGTAAGTAAAGAGCTAAAGATTTCATGGGTTTCTTTCTCTGATATGAGCCTAAATAAAGTAACATA